TAAAATGTTATATCGCAGCAGTGCTTAACAGAAATTTAGATTGAAGCATCTGCATATATGTGACAGTGACATTTCAGGTGGACAGTTGACAACATGTTTTAATGATGCCAGGTGAGTGAAGTATCATGGCATTAGTGAAAGCGTAGTAAAGAGTTAAGAATTAAACAAGTGTTGGAATTAGAATAAAGTTACAGTGCCCTGCTACAGTAGTACTATTCTCTATAGCAGGAGCAATGTGATGTACACTTCAATAATCAAAATGTCAGAACATTACAGAATTGCAAACTTGAAGTATATGATGGCTTGGTCTGGTAGGACATCTTTTCTGCTCCTTCTGAGCAATTCATCAGGAAAATGCTAGCAATATAAGACCATAAGATGCCAGAGCAGAAGCAGGCCATTCAGCCCATTGAGTCTGCTCTGCCATTTGGTGAGATTCTGGCTGATCTGATAATCAGTTCCACTTTGCTGCCTTCTGTCCATATATGCTTTCTAAAACCTGAAACATTCGAACAACATGTCAAGATTACATTTTCTTACAACTGCGAGCAAGGCTTTTGTAATCAAAAGGGTTCAAAAGACCCACAAATTTGAAGCATGCTGCTGAGTCTGGATCAACAGAAGATGGGTGCAGGTGCGTAGAGTCTGTGAAATGAGTGAAAATGTGCAATGCTGCTCTACTTTTTCCTGCACAGTTTGTGAGAACTTGCTTATTAATTCCTAATACACAACCCTGTTTTGTCATCCTTTCCAGTCCAATAACTCTGCAGCTCTGTTTCACATCTTAACCCTTTACTGGCACCCCTTCCATAAAACTCACTTTCTGCTCCCTTGAGCCCTTAACATCTGGGCAGTTGACTTGCAGTCTGGCCTCAATTTTAGGTGACAGTTAATAGTCCTTTTCCTTTAGGCACCCTTGATCCTTGTAACAATGTGATTGCAATTAGTCTAGCTTCTAATATATATTTCTATTAAATCCAAATTTCACTTTTTGACATGGTGGGATTTGAAATCATGTCCCCAGATTGTTAGCCTGGATTACTAGTCCAGTGATAGTACCATTACACCACTGCCGCCTCCTAATCTCTAACAATAAATATGTCAAAACTCAACATTTACTTAGTTTGCTTTCATCCAATCACATTTCAAGCCTACTTGCACCACTAAGACTACCCTGGCCAAAGCCAAGACTTGCTGCAATGATATTGCATTTCTACTTGACCGTTTTATAATAGGTGGCATGGTTGGCCACATTATCCACCATTATCACTACTGTTTCTGTTTTGCAATTTCTGATTTCGTGTTTTTTCGGGTTTTTTTTTGGTTTAGTGTTTAATTCTTTGCCACATCTCTTTGAGATATCATCACTACTGCATTGTTTGGCACTTTTGAACTGCCTCTGAACAATTCTGTTGACAGCATATTTCTGTGGCTTTATTTCAGTATCTGTTAGATTATCTTCTCCCTTTCTCTTTCGCACCTCCCCATCCCTGGGTGCACACTTCATTTGTAAAACACTTTGGTTTGTTTTCTGTTGGTCAGCTAAAACAATTTGTTATTTAGAATGCACATGACAGAAAATAGGACTTGGCTGCTCACAGTGCTGGCAGTGTTTGCCCATTTTTGGTGTGTAGCTCATCCTTATTAGTTGAGCTCGGAATGGAGGTGAAGTACTACTACTGTTGATCACCTACTCCGCAAATTTGTGTTTAACCCTCCAATGTGTCGTTGCATGTCGTGCATATAGCTTGGAGGATTTTCTGTTTTTGCATTTTAAGTATGTGCATTCTTTTGGTATATGATTTCTTGTAACGTTTAACATTTCTGGCATGTGGTTTTGCAGGAACTAGGGACCGTTACGAGTCCCGTGACAGGGATGGTCTTCGTCGAGATGGGGACAGATACAGGGATGACGGCTTCAGGGATCGTGGGTATGACAGAGGTATGTTCATTAATGCTTTACAGCGATAGGGTAGACAGTGAAGTGCCTGCCCTCAAAAGAACTTTGAGAGTCACTGGATGCACTGTGATGCTTTTCAATATTTATTCAATCACCTTGATTGTTGAGTGTATTAATTTGAGCATAAATGTGCATGCAATCAAAATGATGATTGTGCCAATTAACTTATTAATATCACTAAAAATGCTAGTCAAGTCTTAAGAAAAATTGCAGCATCCCACTCTGCTGACATACAACATTGTTAAGTAGAAATTTCTATTATCTGCCATACAAATATGCATCTTAGAGTAATTTATTTGAAAGGGATTCAGAATTTTCAATTTTGTATTATTGGTTCTTCTGTTAAATGCTTTATGTCAGGTATTGTTACATGTGGTCAGTTCCAGCAATCTAACCAGCAATGCCTCTGACTAGAACATTGCATAATTTTATAAGTTTTTTTTTTAATGCTACAGAGGCAATGCACTTATATTTTGATGTTATGCAATGTGCATAAATTTGCCAATTTTGTTTCAGTAATGCCTATTATTTGCTATTGTAGTATTACTTTAAGAAAATGGGTTTCCAATCTATGAACCAGAGAGTCATACAGCACAGAATCAGACCCTTCAGTCTAACTCGTCCATGCTGACCAAGTATCCCAAACTGAAGTAGTCTCATTTGCCCCATATCCTTGTAAACCTTTCCTATTCATGTACCTGTCTAAATGTCTTTTAAATGTTGTAACTGTGCCTGCATCTACCACTTCTGGCAGTTCATTGCACATACGCAATCTGTGTGAAAAAGTTGTCCCTCAGATCCATTTTAAATTATTGTCCTCTTGCTTTAAAATTATGCCCTCTAGTTTTGAACTACCTTAGGGAAAAAAGCCATTGCAATTCACCTAATCTATGCCCCTCATGATTTTATAAACCTTTAAAAGGTTACCACTCAAGCTCCTACGCTGCAGGGGGAAAAAGGTCCCAGCCTGTCCTTTATAACTCAACCCATCCAGTCCCAGTAACATCCTCGTAAATCTTTTCTGTACGCTCTCCAATTTAATGATATCCTTTTCAATAGCAGGGGAACCATATAGAGAGTACTCCAAAAGTGGCCTCACCAACATCCGATACAATCGCAACATGACATTCCAACTCCTATTCTCCGTGGTCTGAGCAATGAAGGCAAGCATGTTAAATGCCTTCTTTACCATCTTGTCTACCTGTGACACAACTTTCAATGAACTATATACCCAGACCCCTAGGTTTTTGTTCAACAACACTCCCCAGAACCCTACCATGAGCTGTACAAGTCTTGCCCTTGTTCATCCTACCAAAATGCAACACCACCTATTTATCCAAATTAAACTCCAATTCATAGAATCCTATCCTAGAATCCCTACAGTGTGGAAGTAGTCCATTCTGCCTGTCGAGTCCATACTGACCCCCCGCAGAGCATCCCACCCAGACCTACACTCCTTACTGTGTCCCTGTAACCCTGCATTTCCCATGGCTAATCTCCCTAGATTGCAAATCCCTGGACACTATGGGCAAGTTAGCATGGCAATGCACCTATCCTGCACAGCTTTGGACTGTGGGAGGAAACTGGAGCCCCCAGAGGAAACCCACACAGACACTGGGAGAATGTGCAAACTCCACACAGACAGTCGCTTGAAGCTGGAATCGAACCTGGGTCCCTGGTGCTGTGAGGCAGCAGTGGTAACTACTGAGTCATTGTGCTGCCCTATGATCAAGATCCTCTTATAATCTTAATTAACGTTCTTCACTGTCCACCAATTTTGTTTTCATCTGCAGACTTATTAACCGTGCTTCCTAAATTCTCATCTAAATTATTTATATAAATGACAAACAGCGGACCCAGCACCGTTCCCTGCAGAACACCGCCGGTCACAGGCCCCCAGTCTGAACAACAACTCTCCGTCACCACCCTCTGTCTTCTACTATCAAGCCAATTCTGTAGCTAATTGGCAAGCTCTCACTGAATCCAATGTGATCTAACTTTACTGATTATAGTACAGTGCTGATAAATAATCATTTCCACATGCACTCTTGAGTGCATTACAGTAAGACTACGACTACAGCAAAGCAAGCTGCAACTTGTGTCTTTGAAACTTGGAGGAAAGATGCTTGCAAGTGCAATCGCAAACATTGGAAATTTGTCTGAGCTACTAATTAATTGAAATGCTCAAAAAAAGTTGCTGTATATCGGATCTGTAAGTGGTTTGTGATTATGTACTTTTCAAAACTTTTAAAAACAATAGCGATATATATTTACTGTTGGAACAGATTCATTCAATGGTAATTATCTTTTAAAATAGCCTGCCATCGATTTTATTTTTTTTTCTGGCCAAGATTCCAAATCTGGCCTGTCTTGAATTTGCCCCTCAGAAGAAATTGGGAAGCAATCCACTCAGCACAGGAGTAGTGTGCAGGCCAAGACATGCCCCTTTCTTTAATGACACTTGCTACCATATTTCAGGAGTTCCAAGGTCCCAGAGGACCTTTTGAAAGTGGCTGAGGAAATGTGTGTTATCAGGTAGGGTTCCAGGCGGGTGATTTGGTTGTGGTGGTGGAGGGGATTGGGGGGTGGTCACTGGTGAATCAGGGGTTCAGTTTAATAGTTGTCCAGAGTTTCAGGTTTTTAATCCTCTGAATTTTTCTTGGTGGCTATCAGACTTGAGTGACTCTGAACGCTCTTAAAATCTCTGACTTTAAAGGGCTTTTTCAAAGGGTTCCATGCACAGGGGAATTGTCCATCGGAAGTTTCAATTTCCCAGGCAAATCCCACAGACTCAGCTGTTGACATGCAGCGCCAGTCTGTGCTATTCCAAAGACACGCTGGCTATTGCAATATGAAGTGGGTACAGACTAGACCACGTGCTCTTATTTTCTCATTTGAATTTAGTTAATTTTTAGCTGCAAAATATTTCCCATGGATATATTGACAAGCGTCTCCTGTCATAAGGTTGGATATGAATGTTCAGTTTGTTTTTTAAAAAGTCCCTTTTAGCATTAGCTCTGGGAATCAATTTTGTTCTACTCTGTCAGGACTGTGACCAATGCGCTCTCTGATAAAGTCTTAAGTGTTATCATGTATAACTTTTCTTTTTCCCCCCTTTATACATTTTTGAGAAAGTCTTCAACCTCTAGGTGTTGACCTTTTTTTTAACTTTGAGAGCCAGGCCTCGCAGTTCTGAGTGAGTTTTGGGAGAGACTAATACAGATTTTAGGTCTTGTTTTTAGCTAGACTTTGTATCTGTTTTTCTTTTTGTGTTGATTTTTCAGATTCAAACAAAAGGATAGGATATAATTAGAGCAGGGAACTTGGATGAACCTTTTGGGGTTCCTTTCACATGCTTATAAATATCTTTGGCGCAGTAAAATAGCATTCCCTGAGTTTTTGTTCAGGCCAGTCGTATATCTTGGAGCCTAAAAGAGAAGCTTTCTTCTGTCCTGTCAACCTTTGTCATATGGTGTGAACTGTTTAGAAATATCTAATTTGACAGCAATCCATTCTCCTATGATTTTAAAAGAAATACATAGTGGCACCAGTGGAATTTTTTTAATATACTGGGAAGTTCTGAGCAATGTTGTCATATATTGCTAAATTAGTGCAGTGGGATAGCACTCTTGTTGAGATTGCTACTGTTATCAATATACTTTTGTTCATAAAGACTCCTTTTGATTAAAGAGAATCTGGATATGCCACCTGTCCTGGTGCATTTCATTGTAATTGCTCGACCAAGTAACTGTAGCAGTAACTAGCTATATTTTTAGTATTTCTTGGGATAGTGCCCTTTTTGTAAGGGGATATACAGTATTTTGAAATATTGGGTGCTATTCCACAAGTGTAGCAGATTGTTCACATTTATGCAATGGATGTTAAGTGCTCAGAATATTCCTGCAAATTAGACATTCTACAGAAATGTATATTCTACTGAAATTAATGAAAAATAAAGTACTGCAATTTTCACTGAGGACTGAGTGAATTAGCAAATTGCATTGGTTATGTAAGTGAGTATATGGCAGTTTGCTTTCATAAGTGTAATTTTTTCATTTGCTCTTGGGATGTTGGCATCACTGGCTCAGCCAGTATTTTTGCCTTCTCCAGCACAACTGGGGAACAACAGTGGTGAACTGCCCTTTTAAACAGCTGCAGTCCATGTGCTATGTGTACACCAACAGTGCCGTTCGGAAGGGAGTTCCTAGGAGCAGTGAAGGAAGGGTGATGTATTTCCAAGTGATAGTGAGTGGCTTGGAGAATAATTTGTAGGTTTGGAAGATGCTATCTAAAGAGCCTTGGTGAGTTACTGAAGTGCATATTACAGTGGCAGCAGCAGTGTGTATGATATGTGTGTGAATGTTGAAGGTGATGCATGGCGTTTCAGTCAGGTGGGCTGCTTTATTCTGGATGGTGTCAAGCTTCTTGTGGTGTAGGCAAGTAGGAAGTAGGACTCATCAAGGCAAGTATGCTTCTACAAGTTCTAACTGTTTATTAGTGATTGAAAAGTATCTCAGATTGAATTGTTTTCTAGGTTCCCGGCGTGTGTTTGGCAGTGGCTTCAGAAGAGATAATTATGATGACAGGCGGAGTGATGATTTCCGAGGTGGTGGTGATCGTTATAGTGACCGTTACAATGATGGCTTTGACCGCTTTGATAGAAGAGATGACCGGAGAAGTGACTATGGCTCAAGAGATGAAATGAGGCATGAAGATAGAGGTAACAGATGTCTTGCTAAAGAAAATGCTTTTATTTTTAAAAAAAGATTGAAATACCCTTGGAATAGCTCATTGCATTTTGAGCCTTTTCCCAGTTGCTGTGAGCTTATGCTAAAGCTAAATGTTGAACTTGCCTGCATGTATCATTTGAGTAGATGTTTTGTGCACTGCTGTCATTGGGTTCATTAAACTTATCTGTCTCACTTCTGCCTCGATGGATGCTGCTTTCTCAATTTTTTTTTTTCTATTGTTGGTGCTATGCTGAAGAAACTTTTAAACACTACTCCACTTCTCTGACAAAGTTAGAATGATTGCTTAAATTTTGGCGCAAAATTGTCAATTCAGTAACTTAGTACAAAGGTACACTGTGATTCCTACCTCAGTTGTGTTCTACATGTGAGGTTATCATCATGTTAAAGGTCACGTCATACTGAGACACAACAGTAAACTGCTGATCTCAAAAGTAGTTTGCTGGAGAAATCAGCAAAAATCTTACCACAAGACTGCTATGTCTCTAGTTAATTGCCTGAACATATTCCTTTCTTGTATGCAATGTTTTGATTTTCAAAGAAATGTAAAATATGGCAAAGTTCTTCTGTTTTGGGCTCTTCTGTCAATAATTTATTTACCGAATTTGGGATAGTACAGTGTCTTAACTTTTTTGTTTCATGAAATTTTATCAATAGGTTCTATGCAGAGACCTAAACTGAACCTCAAACCTCGCAGCATTCCAAAAGAAGAAGTTGTCAGAGCTCCTCCAGCGCAGTCATCTGGAAGATCTGCATCCATATTTGGGGCTGCCAAACCAGTAGATACAACAGCTAAAGAACGTGAGGTTGAGGAGCGTTTGAAAAAAGAGCAAGAAAAGTATCAGCGGCAAATAGAGGATCAAGAAAGAGGGATTAAAGGGGTTAAGCAACCAAGGGAACGGTTAGTTAATCCAAAAATGCCCAAACTCTGAGGATAAACGAAACTGGTCAAAAATAGTGTGTATGCATTTTGTTGTAGAAATGTCAATATCCAAGAAGATACAGTGATACATTTGATTATCGTACTGAAATCCATTTGCTTTTTAGCGAAGTACAATTTCATTCTGACTACTAAAATAATTGTTCATCTTGCAAACCTCTGGAAGTTTGTTATCTTAGTGTACAGTCAGAAGCACTTTGCGCTACATTCAAGACAGTGTCGTCTTACCTGCATGTGTTTATATCTGAAAGTGCTCGTTTTGCAGCATTTGCAATGCAAACTGTGTGGAGTAGTGGTTTATTCAGACAGCCTGTAGTTTTACCAAGTACTTGACAACAATACTTGTAACTATTCTTGAGGTTATACAGGCAACCAAGTATGGTTATTCAGTGCCAGAAGTTGAAGTGGCAGCACTCTAATTTGTTTGCAACTTGGCTTTTTAAGCCTTCAAAAAGTTTAAAATGCAGTGCCTTCGCCATTGATCTCAGCTTGTGCTATCTATAGTGCCGTGCAAGTTAATCTTTATCTTCTGATCCATATTTTGACTTCTAATACTTGTTGCATACTGATGTATTCCAACATCTGTTTTAATATAATTGAAGTATTGCAGAAATGAAAGCTGTTAAGATTCTTAACATCAATGCAAATAGCATTTGAAAACAATTTGCGAATATTAAGGCAAGATAAGATTGACATAGTTTGCAAGTGGTTTACTGCAGTGCAGATGCTGTGTTGATTCAGGCCACGTGGTAATTTGTTTAGGTATTATTGTATAGTTGAACTTGATTTAATATGGTGCCAACCCTATAGGGTGGGAAGAAAGAATACTAACATTTGCATGAAACAGGTGGTATTTTGATGTCTGTTCTGTCTGGCCAGAGGAACGATGATTTAGTTGTCCGTAACCATTATTTCACTTGACAGATTTCTGTACACTCAATTAGGACTGTGCCCTAACTAGTGAAATTCGCAAATTAATTTGAATTTAAGTTACTCGTCTACCCCACGAGATATTTGAAAAATACATAATTTTTTAAAAAATTGTGGTGAGCATAGCATTTTGTAATGTTTTGTCTCTCCTATTTCTTAAATCTTTTGAATCTACATTGGTTAGCTATTACCAAAGATGTCTATCATTACCCACCTAACCACTTCACCCATGAAAATCTTTCATTTGTAAAAATGGGAAATGTTTGCTGAATAAATCCCAATGTCACGTAACTGGTGATGTAATCCAAGCATAAGAAAGCATTGTTTGTAAAGCAGTGTTCTTCTTGTTACATATTTAACATATCAGCAAAAAATGACAGTGTTATTCCAAAGGTAATTTTAAAGTTGCCTGGAAGAAATATCTAATTTACCTTTCTTGCATTCTTATGAACATGTAGTAATGGTTAAGGTATCTGAGTTGACACTCTGAATTATTTGGAAATGTTTCTATTGCCTTTAATTGACTTCCAGTGATAACTTTCTCTTAATCAACATGTAAATCCTGTGTGTTAATGCCATTTAGTAATGTACTTTGGTTCACTGTAGGCATCCAAGCTGGCGCAGTGAGGATCAGCTGGAACGTTCAAGGCCAGCTAGCGATTCTTCACAGCCAACTGATACCAGTGGTTCTGGAGGTCGGGGTAAGACTCAATGGTTACACAGTATTTAAAAGTTATTTGGATGAACATTGAGTGAGTAACTTTTGAGTCGTATGCTTTCAATGCACTTTTTTAAAACTGTCGAATTTGCTACTTTACAAAATTAAAAATCTGCCTATTGCAGTGCAAAACTGGAGAAATGATTCCATGTGGCAAGTCTTCTGTTTAGTTTGCATTTGTCCAGCTTGACTACACATTTACACGACTCCTATTAGTTTGAAATTGACACAGAGTAGTTGTCACCTAGTTAGCTTTATCATTTTCATAAAACTTATTAACAATGAATAAGTAGCAAACAGATGCAAAAGCTATTGCTTAAGAGCAGTTATCTACAAAACCAGAAAGGGAGGGGGAGCTGTGAAGTAACCAATGATTTTCTTAAATGTTTTTGGCAAGCAAAATGCCTGTAATAAAAAGTTTCTGATAACACATGAACATTTAAAGTATGAAAATGTGTTTAAATTGGTCGAAATGATTGTGTGCATGCTGCTAAAAGCCATCAGATAAATTCTGCCCTTAGAACATACCTTTTTGAGAATATTGGGCTTGAGTTTGATTATTCTGGAATTTACTTGATTCCATTTAGTCTATTCATTGTTTTTCTTGTTTTTGAGGATGTAAGTACAGGGCCAGGCAAGGCTGAAATTGTGAGAAGATGATTTAAGGCATAATAAAATGGGCATTACAGTTATTGATGAAAATAGCCCAATCCTGCAATTAAAAATTACCATAGCTTATCTTAGAATCCAACGAACTCTACGAGAGATATTTGCTAATGTTGGTTATTATTGAGCACTGTGCACTTTGAAAGTATCCCAGTTGTTGTTGCTGCTCCACTAACTAACTAGACATGCAGCAGCAAGAGCACTGCTGTTTCTGGCACTTCATTAGCTGTTTTCACACAAACTTGGTCTTTCATTTGTGGGTGTCTAGGTTTGTGATTGCTGCTGTGATTCAATCCTGAGGGAGTAGGTTCAGCTGCTTCGGTGCTTACATGCAGATCTGCACCCTCAACCCTGAGCTCCCAACTATTCCCTTGCATCTGTCAACATTTAGATTACAGGTCCTAATGAGTACACGTGACTGTTGCTGACGTTTTGGCCATAGCTGCAGAGAAACAGTGTTAAGGTTCTCAAATTGCAGACCGATCTGAACGTGCATTTCTTCAGTAATGCACCTAACTCACTTTTTTTTTGTCAGATCTCTAAGTCCTCATGCCACCCTGATAATCCCTTCATGTTCTCTGGTTGTTGGCAAGACTTTTTTTTTCCCAAGATCCAGTGTAATCTATCTCTCTCTCAGCAGCAAATGGTCCTCTGGAAGGACCTAAATTGGGATCAAAGTAATGGCATGCATTTTATTTAAAACGTTTTCTTTAACTCTGGAACCAGAAACATAATTGCAGGAGTTTTGCCATTTTTGGTAATGGGGTAGTGCATTTTTGGTAGACAGGCTATCTATCTATTTATTAATTAAATGTTTGAAGTGTTAAAAGTCATTTCTGTTTATTGGTAACTTCAATAAGTGGCAACCTTGTGAATGTTGTAACAAAACTCTAGACTTTTCCAAACTGCAGTTTAACCAGTAAACAGAATTTCAAAATCCGTTTGAAATCATAAAACTAAGATCATTGAATATTGTGTTTCTGTCTGATTCAAAGGATTTTAGATTTTTTTTCTTGTTGAAAGTGTATTCCACTGCTACTTTGACTTGAAACGTTTGGTATCATGATAAAGAATTGACACATCTGATGCTAAAATTCAATTTAACTTCACGAAAACCTGTAAGTTGGATGTTTTGCAACTCTTGGTTCTGTGCCTGAATAAACAGAACTGTATATTTCAGCACATCATTGACTGTAGTGAAAAACAAAACTGGCAAATGGATGTCCTTGCAATGTCGAATGTGATCTGCACAAGACAGTTATTTCAATTCTCTAAACTAGTGTTAATATTTTGTTAACTGAAGCCAAAACTGATCATCTTCTTTTTTGTACATGCTTACTAACTGTTTTTGGGACTACAAAGATAGAAGAATGCAATTGCAAAGTTACATAGGTAAAGCTTCAGCTTTGTGACTGTTTTGTTAAGGAGATGCTACTCTATAACACCTCACAACCATTGTGTGTTTTACTTTGCTAGAGGTGTAAATATGACAGTTCTTTCTGTTGGTGCGCAGATGTGCAAAGACTACTTGCAATGGATCGTTTGTTAACACACTACAGCTCAGAATTGTTTGTCCCCAGTATTTTTGGAAAATGGT